TCCAGGCTGCTGGTCCCTTCCTTTCTGTTACTGTTTCCCGCACCCCCCAACCTTTCCCCAGGGCTCCTGGTCCTCTCTCTCATCCTGGGACCCTCTCGTCTTCCTGGGGTCTGACACCTGTGGCCCGGAGGACATCAGTGAGCCAGTAAAGGGTGACCTCTTCATTTGGGATGGCTTTTTTCCCCCCTTTCTTCAGAGGTCCCTTCCTTCTGTCTTGCTGCTCTGATGTGTGGTCATCCTTCAGGAATGGCTGATGATTTCAACTTACACTGCAGCCGTGTTTTAACCAGGAAAGGAGCGAGGGGACTCTCTTCCTTCCCTTTTTGTTGGAAAGCATCCATTCGTTTACTTGGGTGGTTTTCCAGCTAGCTAAGCTGACTGGAAAAAGCTTTCTTCTTTCTTTTTTTCCTCCCTTTCTTTTTTCTGTTGGCCAGAGGCCTCTTCCTTAAAATGAAGTCTCGTATTCAACCTCAGCGTATGAAGCAGATAAAAGTGAGGCTATTGCAGACTGAGGAGGGGGCACCCCCTGCACCCTGCCTTCCCCCTCCCTGAATTCCCTGGGTGGCTTCCGAGGCACCTCTGAGGTCTCCTGGGCTTCCGCAAAGCTGCATTGGAAAGCTAAGCTCCTTACTTGGTGAGAAAACCAAGGCTTAGTGGGGACAAGCGCCGTCCCCTAGCCCACGGCACCTCCCTCTCAGCCCACCTTTCTTCAGGGCTGGGCTGCTGTGAGCAGGGTGCAGAGGAACGAGCAAGGGCTGGAGGCGAACAACCGAAGCTTGAGTCTGATTCTGCAGAAGCTGGGAGACCTTGAATCCACTAGAATCTCTCTGCCCTGCAGGGTCCCGACCGTGGTGCGCATGAAGCCGCTGGAGCATCGTGGCTGCCCAGCTCCTCCTAGGGCTCTGCAGATGGCGAATGTTTTTAGTACAGGAGCTAAGGAAGAGGGGCCCACAGTCAGACCTAGGGTGCAGAGGATGCAGCTGGAGTGAGGGGAATTGCAGGTTCAGTTGAGTCCTGGGCCCCTGAACTCTTTCCACTCTGTCCAGAGAGGGGGGTCACAGCCCCAGTTGTCCTCGCTGAGTTTTGGGGGCACCTTTGAGGGGTGGGAGAGAGCCTGGGTTCAAGCTTAGTGCTGCCAAAGTCATGGGTGGTATCTCGCATCTCCCGGCGGAGAGGCAGCCGGAGGTCAAGGGGAGAGGAAGTGGGTGGCGGGGCTCAGGGTTCTCACGTACATTTTTTGTTGCAGCTACTGTCCGTAACGTTCTGTTACCACATGCCTTGATTCTTTGATAAAGATGCTAAAGTCCTCTTCTAGGCTGTGCTCAGTCATGTGGGCTGGAGATAAAGCACACTGTGTGCTTTCCTTGCCCTTGGGGTCCCTGAGGCCTCTGCTGGGTCTGTAAGAGCACGGATGTGTCAGGAGGGAAGGCCCCTCGCCCTGGGATCCGGTAGATCCCCTTCCGGA